TTCTCATTGTGGAAATTAAAGATGAAGGCCATCCTGAGGAAAGACGGGTGTCTAGCGGCTATCAGTGAAAGGCCGGTGGATTTTGCAGATGACATCAAATGGAACGAGATGGACGGGAATGCTATGGCAAACTTTCATCTAGCATTAGCAAATGAAGTATTGTCAAGCATCGAGGAGAAGAAGACAGCTAAGGAGATATGGGATCATCTCACCAAATTGTACGAGGCCACATCGCTGCACAATAAAATTTTCCTTAAAAGGAAATTGTACACTCTCCGTATGCCAGAATCTACTTCAGTGACGGAGCACTTAAATACACTGAACACCTTATTTTCTCAGCTTACATCCTTAAGCTGTAAAATAGGAGAACAAGAACGTGCTGAACTTCTACTTCAAAGTTTACCGGATTCATACGATCAACTCATCATCAACTTGACAAACAGTAATGTCACCAGTTTAGTCTTCGATGATGTTGCAGCTGCTGTTCTACAAGAAGAAAATCGGCGCAAGAACAAGGAAGACAGACAAGTAAATCTGCAACAAGCAGAAGCGTTGACAACGATGAGAGGAAGATCAACAGAACGTGGCCAAAGCAGCAGTCACAAACATGGTAGATCGAAGTCGAGGAGCAAGAAGAAGTTAAACTGTTACAACTGTGGAAAGAAGGGTCACTTGAAGAAGGATTGTTGGAGTCTAAATAAAAACTCCAATTCACAAGGCAATACCGCAAACACTTCAGATGATGGAGATGCTTTATGCTGTGAAGCATCAACCACCGTAGAAGGAAGAAAACGATTTGCAGATATATGGCTCATTGATTCGGGAGCAACATATCACATGACCTCAAGAAGAGAATGGTTCCATCATTATGAACCTGTCTCAGGAGGATCTGTTTATAGTTGCAATGATCATGCCTTAGAGATCGTTGGCGTGGGAACCGTCAAATTGAAGATGTATGACGGAACAATTAAAGTTGTTCGAGATGTGCGGCACGTGAAAGGCCTGAAGAAAAATTTATTATCCTACAGATTGTTGGATAATAATGCAAGCAAGATTGAAACTCGGAAAGGAATCATTAAGGTGTTCCGTGGAGCGCTTGTGGTACTGAAAGGTGAAAAGATAGCTACAAACTTGTACATGCTGAAGGGAGAGACTTTGGTAGAAGCAGAAGCCTCTATTGCCTCATGTAGTTCAGATTCGGCAATGCTATGGCATCAGAAACTTCGACACATGTCAGAACAAGGAATGAAAGTCCTTATGGAGCAAAAGCTACTTCCAGGCTTAACAAAGGCATCACTTCTTTTGTGTGAGCATTGCATAACAAGTAAGCAGCACCGGTTGAAATTCAACACATCAAATTCTAGAGGCAAAAGTGTTCTAGAATTGGTTCACTCTGACGTATGGCAAGCACCAGTTACATCCCTAAGCGGAGCAAAATACTTTGTCTCATTTATTGATGACTACTCCAGGAGATGTTGGGTGTACCCTATTAAGAAGAAATCAGATGTGTTTTTCACTTTCAAAAACTTCAAAGCGCGGGTGGAACTTGATTCTGGAAATAAGATCAAGTGTTTCAGAACAGATAATGGAGGAGAATACACAAGCGAAGAATTTGATGACTTTTGCAGGAAATAAGGCATCAAAAGACAGTTCACAGTGGTGAACACTCCTCAACAAAATGGAGTGGCAGAGCGGATGAACAGAACCTTGTTAGAAAGAACAAGAGCAATGTTGAAGGATGCAGGCCTAGAAAAATCATTCTAGGCAGAAGCAGTCAATACCGCCTGTTATTTGGTGAATCAAGCTCCATCAACTGCAATAGAGCTGAAGACACCAATGGAGATGTGGACTGGTAAACCAGCTGATTATTCAAACCTCCATGTATTTGGAAGTATTGTGTATGTGATGTACAACTCCTAAGAAATTTCAAAGCTGGATCCAAAATCCAGGAAATGCAAATTCTTGGGGTATGCTGATGGTGTAAAGGGGTATCGCTTGTGGGACCCTACTGCCCGCAAAGTGATCATTAGCAGGGATGTTATCTTTGTAGAAGATAAGTTACAAAGAAAAGAAGATCATGATAGCGCTGAAAAGTCAGAGACTACACAGATACATGTGGAAAATGAGGTTGAACAAGGAGATTCTTCTGAAGCAGAACCAACACATGATGAACAAGAACTAGGGAGTTCTGAAACTCCAACAACTCGTCAATCAGATCGTGTGAGAAGACGTCTCAATTGGCACTCAGATTATGTTATAGAAGGTAATATTGCATACTGCCTTTTAACAGAGGACGGTGAGCCATCAACATACCAGGAGGCAATAAACAGCTCAGATGCTTCACTGTGGATGATGGCGATGCAAGAAGAAATCGAAGCCCTTCATAAAAATAATACATGGGACCTTGTGCCACTACCACAAGGAAGGAAGCCAATTGGTAACAAATGGGTCTTCAAAATCAAGCGAAATGGTGACGATCAAGTGGAGAGGTATCGTGCAAGATTGGTGGTCAAAGGATATGCTCAGAAAAAAAAGTATCGATTTCAATGAAATATTTTCTCCTGTGGTTCGACTAACAACAGTTCGAGTAGTTTTGGAAATGTGTGCTACATTGAACTTACATCTAGAGCAGCTAGATGTTAAAACAGCTTTTCTTCATGGAAATCTTGAAGAAGAAATTTATATGCTCCAGCCTGAAGGTTTTGAAGAAAAAGAAAAGAATAACTTGGTTTGCAGGTTGAACAAATCTCTGTACGGTCTAAAGCAGGCGCCGAGGTGTTGGTATAAGAGATTTGATTCCTTCATTATGTGCCTTGGATACAACAGACTTAATGCAGACCCTTGTGCTTATTTCAAGAGGTCTGGTGATAACGATTTTGTTATATTGTTGTTGTATGTGGATGACATGTTGGTTGCAGGACCCAAAAAAGATCATATTGAAGAATTGAAGGTACAACTGGCTAGGGAATTTGAAATGAAGGACTTGGGATCAGCAAACAAGATTCTAGGGATGCAAATTCACCGAGACAGAAGTAATAGGAAGATTTGGCTTTCACAAAAGAATTACTTGAAGAATATATTGTCACGATTCAGCATGCAAGATTGTAAGCCAATTTCTACCCCTCTTCTTATTAACTTCAAATTATCCTCCAGTATGAGTCCTAGCAGTGAAGAAGAGAGGATGGAGATGTCTCGAGTACCGTATGCATCAGTAATAGGAAGTTTAATGTTCGCTATGATATGCACAAGACCAGACATTGCACAAGCAGTGGGAGTGATTAGTCGGTACATGGCAAATCCAGGCAAAGAGCATTGGAATACAGTAAAGAGGATCCTGAGATACATCAAAGGGACTTCAAATGTTGCATTATGTTACGGATGATCAAACTTACTAGTCAATGGGTATGTAGATTCTGACTTTGCAGGCGATTTGGATAAAAGCAAATCTACTACATGATATGTGTTTAAAGTTGCTGGTGGAGCTGTAAGCTGGATTTCAAAATTGCAGTCAGTTGTGGCTACATCCACAACAGAAGCAGAATATGTAGCAGCTACACAAGCCAGTAAAGAAGCAATTTGGTTGAAGATGCTATTGGAGGAGCTTGGGCACAATCAATAGTATGTCTCTCTGTTTTGTGACAGTCAAAGTGCCTTGCATCTAGCAAGGAATCCAGCATTTCATTCAAGGACAAAGCACATACGAGCAATACCATTTCATTCGTGAAAAGGTGGAAGAAGGGACGGTAGATATGCAGAAGATCCATACCAAAGACAACATAGCAGATTTCATGACTAAGGCGATCAGTACTGATAAATTTACTTGGTGTCGATCCTCCTGTGGCCTGTCAGAGATGTAAGCAACATGAAGGTACAAGGTAGAAAGAATGGTGTGAAGATATGATTGTTCCAATCAAATCTTCAAGTGGGAGATTGTTGAAAAGTCAAGATAAGTGGCCAAATTAATGGCCAAACTATTTAGTGCAAATTGTTGAAAAAAAATTGTTAGGCACCGAAAGTATGGATTGAAAAACAATTCCACCTAAAATGTTGAAAATGTGGATGGTAAAACTATGCAATTAGTCATTGTAATTTAGGGTATTTACAAATTAGTCCTTAAAGCTTCAACTATAAATACCCTAGCTCATTTAGCTTCAAAACCATCCCAAAGCATTATAGCTTTCTTTCAATACTAGAGATATTTTAGAGAGTTTCTTGAGAATTGTTTTCTCCTTTTTATCTAGAGAGAATTATCATTGTTTTCTCCTTGGTAGATCGAGAGAGGTTGTAATTCCTATTTTCTCATAGTGAAATTCTTCTACCGTTGCCCATGGTTTTTACCCTAAATATTTTAGGAGTTTTCCACGTAAATTTTGTCTCTTTTATCTTCATTTTATTTTCTCAAATTATCAGTTGCGATTTTGCTCTATCCGATAGCCGTCTTCCGCAACACCATCGGCATCAATGGATCTCCCTGACTTGATCAACAACTTCAAGAAGCAGGGCTTGAACAAGAGAGATCTCGTAGCTCTCTCCGGTGGTCACACCATCGGATTCTCACAATGTTTTATCTTTAGGAACAAAATCTATAATGCAACCAACATTGATCCTGCTTTTGCCAAAGACCGTAGAGCCACATGTCCACGCACCGGAGGGAACACGAACCAAGCTCCTTTCGACTCAACGCCTGCTCATTTTGACACGACATACTTCAAAAACTTGGTGAAGCTAAGGGGTCTACTCACCTCGGATCAAGCACTTTTCAATGGTGGCTCCACTGATAAACTCGTAAAGAGTTACAGCTTGAACCCTAATGCTTTCTGGGTTAATTTTGGAAAGTCTTTGATTAGGATGGGAAACATTAAGCCTTGACTGGAAAGCAAGGACAAATTCGTGTTAACTGTAGGAAGTTGAATTATTGAAGCTCTAAAAGTTTATTTTCACTTAATTATTGCTAAACTTGTCTTTGTTGTTAAATAAGAGATCTTACACTTCTATAATAATAATAAAAAGCACCCATAGAAGATCAAATATCATGGGTCTTGTTATTTGATTCGCAGTATAATAAGAAATTTTCCATTTTAAATGATACAGATCCTAAAAGTGAATGAACCCCACATGTATTCCCCATGGAAACTAATTTTAATACTCTCTTCCCCATGAAAGAAGAGAAGATACAAAATCCAATTGGACAATATTGTGTATTTTTCTATCATATTTTTTGAACCTATTATTTAAATGATAAATCACCAAAGTGAATGTACATCTGGGGGAGGAAAGGAACCCCCAATATGGGTTGGCCTTGCAACTGTAGACCTTCCAACAGCTTCTCCTCCAGAACTTTCTTGCTTAATACCCCATTCCTTCCTGCCAAACCAACAACAATATCCCAACATGAATCAGACTAACACCCAATTTACAGATTTTACAAACTCATATAGTAAACAAAGAGAATCTACAAACCAAAACATGTCCCTAGCCCCCCTACATGTGTATGTGAACTTGCATTTGGAAATTGCTCGACATATCGGTTCAAAATCTTTAATAATAAACAGTTCTGCCTATTACATTCTACCTCAGATTTGAATGTCTATGTTTTGAACCTGAGCAAATGATATACACACTTAAGAACATATGCATCAAACCATCCAGAAACTATTGCTGCATTTCTCAAATGTTTTTTTCCTTAAGTATTAACAAATCAAACCAAAGACGCAGGACAGTTTGGTCACATATTCCTAGAAGACTAGTAATTTCCGTAGTACAACATTTCCACCGCACAGCTTACCCAAACCCAAGAGAGAAGGTAGAGCTAAAAGATATAAAAATCAAATTCCTAAAAGTCTAATAACTTCCTGCAGTACAATTCTTCCGGTCAATTACAGATAAGTTTAAAATGCCAAGACGTTGTCTACTTAAAGTCAATAATTCGATGAATCAACAAGAAATGGACAACATTCAAGGTTTTTGGCTTTCATCTACAACTCTGTGAAACCTTAGCAATTAATGGTAATATATAAGTTAGATGAACTCACTTGGGCCAACAATTCAAAGTAGACAGCTCAAATGGATGTGTACAAGCAGCTCCACTAGGAATTCCATAACTACTTTCACTCACATCCTCCTGAGGCTTAATAGGAAAATGAGTATCACCGTCAGAAAATGGTGGAAAGAAAGCATTCTGAAGACATGGATCCTGATCACTTGGACCATTTACAGGATTGAATGCCCCAGCAAGCTGGCTGTTACCAAGAAAAACCTGCTGAGGAGATTGTGTACCAGCAAGTAAAGGGTCCTCATTCAAAAACAATGATTCCATAGTGTTCTGCGTATAAGGGTGGGCAAAGTTTTCCTTATTTGATATATTATGCTCCAAGGGTAAAAGCCAGCTTGCAGGACCAGTACCACCCACCAAACCCAGACCATCCTCAAGGAGAGAACTATTCCAAATCTGCCATGTCCCCGTATCATTTGCATTTGTAACATCCACAGGGTAAGAGCGAAGATCTTGGGCCTTTGGGGTAGTCGGGAACCTATTTGAATTGTTATGCCTTTCATCAGCAGATCGTAATCTTGACAAGGGGCACTCAATAGGCGAGGGCTTGTTAACTTCGGAAGAAGCGGATATTATTCATAGCTCGAGGCCTTTCCATACCTATACTGATATCCCTTCCATAGCCAGCACCTGAGTCCAACTGAAAATTATCAAGCAACTCTGAAACAGGCCCAAGCAAGGATACGGGATCAGGGACATAACATGGGTCTTCAAAAAACTCTGGTTCTTCTGGAATAAATTCATGAAGCCCTTCAGAAGTACTAGAATATGCTGGTCCAACAGCAGGTGAGAAACCTAAACTACTGCTGGGGACTCCATTTTGATATGTAGAAATAAATGGTGATGGCAGTGCAAAATTGATAGGACTATCAAATGTTTGCATTGTTGAAGAATGGCCAGGAAATGGTGGGCTAGCTTCTGCTTGAATCTTTGAATTTGGTCTGGTAATAACATTTTCATTTGAAACTGGAGCAACAGAGGGTGAATTAGTGAATAACTGTTGCCAAGATTTTTTTGGTGCTGCCCTTGGTAGGGGTCCAGAAAGCACCTGCAGTGAGCAGCCCAATGTAACACTGTCATCTTCAAGAAAAATTGTTATAACGCACTGAAGTGCAAAAAATCCCAAAGAACACCCGATTCTAGAGAATTGGAAAATGCTTATCTGGAAAAAAAAAAGATGGGTGGGAGGATTTTAAGCATAAACTCAGTTAGAATATTTGACTAACATGGAAATCAAGAAAAAAATTCATTTAGCACTGAAGATAACTGGTGCCTGCCCTTAATAGCAATAGTAATTTATACTAGTTGCAAGCAATATGGATTCTACTAATTTACGAAACCAATGAACTCAACAAACAGAATCAAGAACTTACAGGGTAGCTGCTTTTAGCATTCTTATCATCTCCATTGATACTAGGCTTCTCAGATACACACTCAGGTGCACAAAAATCTCTCCTATGGTCAGAAGTACTTGCATGGTCAACAAAATTGGTAGTTTTCTTTTCCTTTGTAATAGTAGCAGGAGTATTAGCACTCTTTCCAAAGAAACTACTTCCACTAAAAGCCTTAGACGATGAAAAAAATGTACCCCTCACACGATCAAAGTATCTAGTACCAGAATTTACTCGACTAAAGTTATTTGAAGAAGTATATTTCAGCCCATGTCCTGTTTCTAGCGTACGTGCCTTGACATTATCCAGCCCAGACTTCTGATGTTCCCAGTTATCAATCTCACTCTTCTTATCAATGTCACGTTTCCGTTCAGTTTCCATACTGGTTCTCTTTTCAACTTCTTCAACATCAGAATTGCTCTTACTAGATGCCTTATCTTTCTCTTTCCTTCTATATTGACGCTTCTTTTCAGCCTCCTTTTTCATCTCTTTCTCCCTAACAGGTGTAGATAATTTGCTACAATTTTTTTCAGTCTCCAGTTTTTCATCCCTCAGTTTCCTTTGTTCCTCCACCAATCTTGCAACCTCCTCTCTTTGCTTTCTCTCTTCTTCCTCCAAAAGCTCCTTTTCTAATCTAGCCTGTCTCTTTTCTTCAGCTTTTCGGCGAGCTTTCTCTCCTCTTCTCTCTTGGAAGCTTGTCCCATTTTCACCCCTCTTAGTCAACATCCTCCGGTGGTGTGAATCAAATGAACCATCATCCCTCGATGAACTAAACCTAAAAATCTTTCTAAAAAGCCACCTAATGCTCAAGAAGAAGGATGTCAACAGCTTGCATGAAAAAATAACAATGCCTGAATAAAACTTCTCCGTCAAACAATCCTCGTCTCCACCAAAAACTCCAGTGCCATTCCTCCGCCAATAGCTAGGCTTCCCCGAAACAGACCTAGCAACCCAGTTGCCATTTTCCAACTGTCCAGGCATCCACACATTTTCAGACCACCCCTTACCATTCAAGATTCTCCCGCCTTTTCCTACGAGATCCTTAATAATACCAGAATTTGAGATTCTCATACCAGGCGGTGCAGGCAAGTCTAAAACAGGTCTCTTCGAAATATGGCCACAATAAGAGCACATAAACCGACCACCACCAGGGTTCTGATCCCTATAAGGAGTCAGGCAGTTCCGACACCTTCGTGTTGCAGTCTTCCGAAGCTTCTGCAATTCTATAGCCTCAAACCTCTTGCGCTCCCTGAGACGTTGATTCCTTTTAACCCGCCAAGCAGATATCTGAGGCGTCAAAATCTCATACCAAAAAAGAGTAACCAGAAGCACAAATACACAAGCCAACCTAGGGGAGGTAATCTCAAATCGAAAATCTGGCGGCAAAAGCTGAGAAAGAGCCCATAAACCTATGAGAGGTATAACTAACCAAGGCAGCATGGCAGCAACCCGTCGAGACCACTTCTGAATCACACACAGTATACACATTATCTTCTAACCCCCACCTATTTTCCCCGTCTATACAATCAACCCAAAATAAAACCTAAAAGTCAGACCTCCAATCCCTGCAATTTCCTTTTCAAAAGACAATGTCCCAAAATCGAAAACCCTAACTTCTCATCCGAAACGAAAATAACTATTAAACGCAGCCGTTCCTTGGTGCTTCAAGAACCCTACACAGCATTTACAATCGCAAATCCTTAAAATAGAAAACAAAACAAAACCTAGACCCGCATAATGGTTCAATCGTCAAACAATTATATACATTTAAAATACAACGAAATCCCCAGAAATGGATCGATTTAAGGTCCCCCTTCCCCAAAAAAAGGTTCCTTTGCAAATACTCAATAGACTACGTGAGGTATTCGAGGAACTTACAGAATCAGGTGTCCCTTCCGGAGCCTAATCGGGTCGGCGCCGTGAATTGATGCCTTTTTTTTTCTCTTACCGACAAAGAAACGGTAAGAATCTTTTTTTGTTTTTTGAGAGATGAAAATTTTGTACGAAAGAAAGGGATAAGAGAGAAGAAGAAAATGGGGACGAAAAGAACATTAATTTTTATAGTATAAGCAATCCTTTATGAACCAGTTTTACCGAACCGGTTTTTTGTAAACTCGGATTCTTTGAAAGGTTCGGTTTAATTATACTTACTTCTTTTAGAGAAAAAAGAATTAGGATATGCTTACTTAATATAAAATATTTTTTAATTTTACATAACTTAATTGTTAGATAAATAAAAATGAACAATTAAAATTATTTTTATTTTTTTTCAATGAATATTCTTTTATTTTTTACTGTTAATATCATCTGTATATTTTTATTCACCAAATAATTCTAAATTAATTTTTTTTAATTTTACATTAAATAATTAAATTATATCTCATATTTTAATTTTCCTTTTTTAATCTTATCATGAAAACATGTGTAAATAAATTTAGTTACCTTTTTTAATTCACGATAAATGTGTTTAAATAAATTAAATGAGATAAATAAAAAATTATTTTCTCAACTAAGACGAAACGAACCATGCGTGTGAAAGACGTTGAGGTCACTTGGCATTTTTAGGAAGATGCCAAAAAGACATATTATTTCAACCTTTAAATTTTCTAATAAAATAATTTTTTCAAATTCAACCTTTAAACGATAAATTCAAATAAAATAATATTTTTCATTATATTTAATTTTTGCAACTTAATTGTTAAATATTTTTATTTCTGATATTATTTCAATTTGATAATTTTCTAAATTTTATACATAAATTTAATTTTTTTTTTATTCTTATGATGTATTTAAATATCATATATAGATGTGTTGTAAATAAGTTTTGTTTTTAATTTTCTAATGATCTAATATTCTTAGTAATCTAGACGGTGAAGAAGAACGTTAAATATTTATCATAATATAATTAGACATTCACACTTTAAATAAGTAAAAAAATTAAAAAATAGAAAGAAAATATTTATTAATGATGAGTGAATGATTTTTTTCATAGGGATGGAGCCTATTTATAGACTTTTAAAAACTTAAAAATTAAATAGAATATAAAAAATTGAATTAGATTAGGATGTTGAATAAATAAATATTAAATGAGATTTTTGAATCTAAAATTCCCAAGGTTGACACTGAGGATCGGATCATCCGAACTCGATGAGTTTTGATCTTATTTAATTATATTGGATTGTATTTTTTAAGAAACAAGTTTATATTAGATCGGATCGGGATTTTTAGAATATAAGTTTGAGTTGGATTGAATTCAGATTTAGAATGGAAGATACTCGATATGACCTAGAAAATAATATAATTATATTTTATATATTTAAAGATAATTACAATAATACTCTTATCTATATTGATTTCTTCTAATTAGATATTTATTTTATCGAATAAAATTAAGAATATTTTTATAAATATATTTGTGTCGGATTATGATTTTATCTCAAAGACGAATAGATTTTTGGTCGGATAAAATTATCTTAAATACGACTTGGATCAAATTTTAAGTAAAATATATATATTTTTTCAATCGAGTCATACAGACAAAAAAAAACCTGACTTAATCCGAACCATGTCCGTCCCTAGGTTACACCGTCCTCTGTCTCTAGGCCGATATGAACTTATTCTGGATCAGTATTTGACATTTTGGAAGGTTACCAAACTAGGAATTTGTTATGGGCTTCGTTTGATTGAGGTTGACACTTTTGGGTTAGATTTCACTTGTGGGTCTTCAAGGCCTAAATGCTTCTTTATTGGGTCAATCATCAACTTTATTAAGTTTACGGATAAGAAGAGATATAATGAAAGAATTAGTTTATTGTATAAATGGTCGATTTGGCTCATATTTTCTATTTTGAAATATTTTAATTTTTAATGTTTAATTTTTTTGTCTAAATAATTCATGTTAGATGAAATTTGTTAATTAACTAATGGTCAACGTAAATTGTTAGCGCGATATTTTTATATGTGTTTAATTAATGGTGTGGCATGTGTCACGTCATTACTTTGGGTAACATGACACATGACATGTCAGGTAACATATGAGCAATTTAAACACATGTAAAAATATCACGTTGACAATATGTATTGATTATTAGTTGATTAACAATTTCCATTCAATGTGGGTTATTTTGACCAAAAATTAAAACGATAAAAACTATAATACTTCAAGATATTGGAGGCTAAAATGCTTTAGTTCGAACATTAACAACATACGTATATACGTAAATTGTAGATTTAATATGTAATTTATTTTCAACCTTTTTTAAAACCTAATTTTCTCTCGTAGTTTTCTCTCATTGGTAAGCCGTTTATATCTTTTTTTTTGTTTTTAATGATCGATGACGACATCAACTTTAATGTTGATTGCCGACCGTCAATATTTTTTATTGTCCTTTTATTTTCTCTTGTTTTTATTTTAAATAATTCTGCTTGTATGACACGTTTTTCTCTGCCTTTATGGTACGTTTAATTTTCTTCTACCTTTTGACACGTTTTTCGGCCGTTTGACCATTGGTTTCACTTATATTTTTCTAAGGGTTGATTAGACAGCGCCACGACTGATCAAGATAGTATTTATCTGTTATATTGTTGATCTTCCTTGCTTTAAACTCTCGGATTGAATTTGGATACCCATTATACGTTCGTGGATAGCTTTTCATGTCGCTTGAGTGTGATTTGTGGTTTATCGGTAGTCTTTTAGTAGTTTGATCTCTTTTTGTGATTCGTTTGCCGATGTGATCAGATCTATTTGTATCTACCTTTATTTGAGTTTTCTTAGTTAAATTTTAATTTTTCCTTGTATGATCCTTATGTAATATTAAGTTTCTAGTTTTGCTTCAATGACTATAGGAAATTGTCCTAATTACGTGTTTAATTTACGATTATGATTATAAATCTTTATTTTAATTTAAGATATTTCATATTTTGAATAAATTTAGTGATTTTATTCATTTCTTATTTTAAGTTTGTGCAGTTCAATCATAATTTTGATAAAATTGGATATATGAATTAAATGCAACAAAAAAAACACCCAAGGCTTATTGAAATTAATAAAATAATATTTAAATGAAATAAATATTTGGGAAAGAGACAAATGTGTGTTGGGTTGAAAAAGACCTTCACTTACCTATCAATTATCAACGCATTTATAAAAGTTATTGGATAAATTATTAACAAAGCATTTACAAAAAAGTATTGAATAAATTATTGGATTTTTGCTTCAATTATTGTCTAATGACGTATTGCTATAAATAAGTATTTTTTTTAAAAAATAATTAAATGTATGCATGTTTTATGCCCATTAGTTACAGTACAAATTAATAATACACTAATATAAAAAATAAATAATTTATTCATACCGTCACTACGAGAATCTCATTGATGACAAATTAACAACACATTATACATGGTTCCAGAAACAAATAAACCTTACGTACCATTAGAGAATAAAAAATTTAATTTAAAAATACACATCGGGTTTACATAGCTATTCGAATCCGAAATTTTAAAAAGAATAATTTTTCTTTTGTTATTGAATATACTTGATGAGATCATTAAAATAATATTTGAAAAACATAAGTTCGAATACGTGTATTATCTTCTTATGTATGAAGTGATATAAGATTTGAATAGTTCAAGTATTAAATTAAAAATGAATAAACTGATTTTATTATTTAAGGATAAATTATAGATTTCATAAGTTTCTAAGGGTTGCAAACGGTTAATTCGGTCATTGACTAAACCGAATTTCTATTAATCGAATTAATTAAACTTTTTTAACCGTTAATCGAATCAAACTTCTTTTTGAAAAATATTATCCGACCCGAATAAAGTTCGGTTATTTCGGCCGGTTAATCAAATTAACAAAAAAAATTATAATTTTTAATTTGATTAATTTAAATATAATATAAATATTTTTAATTTGGGTTAAACTTTTAATTAGGTATTGATAATTTAAAGAGTTTAGTGTGATTAAAAAATAACTGAGTCTTACTTTTTAATGAGTTTGAGTTTAAAATATTTATTTAATATATATAATATACTTCATATTTAACAATTTCAGTTAATTCGGTTAATTAACCGATTTCGAACGGAATTAACCGTTAACCGAATATTGAAAAAATGTTAACCGTTCCCCGACCGAACTAGTTCGGTGGGTGATCAAATTAATCGAACTAATTTAATTTGATCGGTTAATTGGTTAAAACCGAAAAATGGACACCCCTGCAAGTTTCTTTTCACTCATATTTTGGTCACTAATTTTTTAAAATAATTTACTCACTAATTTTTTATTTTTTTTCACTCCGCTGTTAAATACTTAATAACGTTATGAGTATACATTTTCTTTTAAAAATTATGAAATTACCCCCAAAATTTTCTTCATTTTTGTGAAAAAATCTAGTTTCGAACTCCCCTATTATTTTCCGATAATGAAGCATATTGTTCTAAATTTCAACGATGAGATAGTGGAGAAGGAGGAAGCAAGTTGTATACTTTGATTCAACGTTGATCGGGTTGTGGATATTATAAACCATAGTGGTTTAGGATTTTTTGAGTTATGTGTTGAATTTTGTTAACTTTAAAGTGATTTTGGTAAAATCTAAATTAATAGAATAGTAGGGGATGATTAGACAAATTCATTGATATCTTGAAGACAACATAGGTGATAACTACAATATCGATATGAGACATTGATAAAACTGTAAAACTTTAATCTACGAACAAAGAATATAAAATTAAAAAAAAAGAGAAACTGATGTCAACAAAATACAGTCCATATCAACACATATAGATTTTATGTTATTATTTTATTTCTGATTAAATATTCGTGTAATAAAAATATAAGTAAATTGAAAATTTAGTAAATAATTTTTTTTAAAATTTAGTGAAAAATTATGAGTAGAAAAGGTGAAATTATGAATTATAGTTTATCCTTGTTTAACACATCGAGTATTAATTTCGTATAATCAATACAAAATAATGGAGCTTGAAATGACATTATTTATGAAAATAATTGTTGACATCATTGTCCTAATTTAATATATATTGTCAACCGAATTGGTTAATGTATTATTTGAAAAGGCCATAACTTTTTCCCTTTTAATCAATTTTTTATCATTAAGTTAAGCATGCGTGTCGGCCCTTAATTTAAAAGAAAATTATTAAATCTAAGGTGAAAATAGAAAATAAAGCGTTACTTTACATTTATTCTAAAATATATACATGAAAATGATATATAATTATATTACAGCTGCCGCGGTCGACCGGAGGTTCCAGGCTTAGAATAATAGTACTCTATTAATGGTTATGAAACATTCACCGTTTCCGGTTCATATATGATATCGAAAAGTTTCGGTCTGAGCTTATCTTCCCAAAGATCACCGCTCGGACCAAGGTTGACCTCCCGCCGCCGTATCTCCACCACCACTAAATTTTCCGTCAACTGATGAACATTCACGATGAGGATAAAATTACTATCTTGCCCTTCCAAATACACCCCTCTCTCTTTCCTTTTCCTAACCTTCACGTTCTCGATTCTCCGGAACTCTTCTTCGATTCTCAATATTATCCTCTCCGGTTTCTCCTCCGACACAAACTGCTCTCTTCGTACGGAGAAGTCGAACTCTTTGAACAAACCGGAGAGGTCGAAACCGGTCGAGAATGAGATTAAATGGAAGGCGTTTAAGCAGTTGGTGGCGCTCTGGGTACTATCTCCTTTCAATTCGAAATCCTCGGCGTGGAATTTAGTCTCTTTGTAACCTTTCTTGAACCAAGGATCGTTGATGATTTCGTCGACGGTGATCCTTGTTTCAGGATTAATGTCCAAAAGCCGGCATATAAATCGTCGGAGATCAGGAGACGTCCATTTCGGGAACCGGAATTCGCCTTTATAAATACGACGGTACATCGCCATCAGATTGGGCTCGTTGAACGGTAGATATCCGGCGTGGAGAACATACAAAACGATGCCGCATGACCATACGTCGATTTTGGCGCCGTCGTATCCTTTCTTCGCCAGAATCTCCGGCGCCACGTACGCTGGTGTACCGCATAAAGTATGGAGGAGGCCGTCGGGTCGGATCTGATCCGTGAACGCGCTGAGTCCGAAATCCGTAATTTTCAAGTTCCAATTCTCGTCGAGGAGGAGATTCTCCGGTTTCAAATCGCGGTGGTAAACGCCTCTCGAGTGGCAGAACCTGACGGCGGAGATCAACTGCTGGAAATACCGACGACTGAGATCTTCGCTGAAACGACCCCTCGAAACCCTCGTGAACAACTCCCCGCCTTTGGCGAATTCCATGACGAAATAAATCTTGGCCTTGGTAGCCAACACCTCTATGAGTTTGACGATGTTCGGGTGGCGCAACCTGCGCATGATAGCTATCTCCCTCTTAACCTGCGCCATGAACCCGCCTTTGTAAACTTTCTTCTTGCTGACGACCTTGATCGCCACGCTCTGCCCGGTGTCGACGTTGCGCGCGTGGTAAACTTTTGCGAATGCACCACATCCAAGCAGCTTCCCGATCTCGTATTTTCCGAACAGGGTTATCTCCGATGAGATTTCCGACAACTCGCTTGCTCCACTGGAGCTCGCCGCGTCTTCAACCTCGGGCATTTTCTTGATTCAAAGACTGAAACTTGTTCTTACTCTTAAAGTGTTAACAAAAACAAATGAAGGAAAGAGAGAAACTTGAACTGCAAATTTCGATTTATGAGAGAATTGGATAATGGGTGAGACTTGATTTTCTTTCAGTGGGAAGCCATTTTTGAAGCTACTTATCCATGGCCGAATGGCTTGCTATTGATTGTCCTTTCGGTGACGTAGTCATAGTTTTGAATATTCTTGAGGGCTAAAATAATTATAATAATAAATGTTATCAATTCATACTACGAATTTTATAAAATGGTTAATTGAAGTAATTTAATAAATTTATTTGTTATATTTAATAATTTTATAAATTAAATATTGTTTGTTTTTATTACATTATAAATTTATAATCACTTCAATTATTTAAAAAATGTAAAAAATAATAAAAAATATATTATAAAATTGTGGAAAATATCTGTGACTCAAAATGACCATACATTTGTCGAGAAAACATAGTTAATGTAGCAAGTAGTACCATAGTACCAATCATCTAATCTTGTGTTTTTATAAAAATAATTTATAAAAGAATTAATAAATTTAATAGAATAAATAATATTTTTTTTAAATAATGTTAAATTTCATATTATAAATTGAATAAGATTTTTTTATTAAGATAAAATGATTATAAGATAATATATGTTCTAATTACTCTCAGTTATTTGATAATGAACGCCTAATCATTCTTACAGTCGGTGCTTGAACTCATAACCTCTAAAAACAACAATAATTCTTTTAACCACTGAGGTAAGTCAGTTTGTGCGAATAAATTTAATTGTGATGATTCAATCTATAACGAGTTTATATGATAATCAATTTAAATTAAATTTATCACGTAGTTTCAGTTTTTAAAGAGAAAATTATTCTTTTTAGAGGTCGTGAGTATAAGTAACTGTATTTGGAGAGTATATGTTTTATTAATGATAAAAATAAATCCTAAATATATATTATCTTATAATAACCCGATACTATTAAAAAATAAAAACATATATTAATCTAAATTAATTGATATAATTAAATTAAAGAATAATGTGTTGTATATGTGTCTAATGCGAAAAGATGATAAATTCATGGATAACGTGCAATGTTTTCGATGGTCCAAATGCAAAAATGTTCATTCTATAAATATGGAAATCCGTACTTTTGTCTTTCTTGGTGAGGTGGACATACTTCACATATATATTTTTGTATTAATTTTATGGTATATTTGAAATTTGTAGTTAAATTTTCTAAAATTTTATTTATAGTTGTTTATTAAATGAAAATTTGTAAAAAATATTTTTTATATAAAATATTTATGTTTAATTGCATTATAAATATGATAAAATTTAAAATTAATAAATACAAAATAAAAATATAATAAAAATACTACATCATTTTGAAAATATATAAAGTTACATCTATCAATTTAACAATTTAAGTATAAAATTGTATAAATTAAATTAAAGTATAAATATTTATTTTATTTTATTAGTAAACTATTTAAATTTTCTTGGCTTAAAGATTGTCTTTGGGGATGACGTGAGGACAAATTGTAGCCACCCAGGTTTCACCGTTCCTTTTCCGCGGGAATTCACATTGGTCGTCGCTGTTACGTGTCAAATGTTTTGAAAATGATATTTATTTTCCATTAATTATGATATAATATATAATTATTAAGTAATTCAATTAATTCGATTAACCTTGATTTCATCGATATTATTATGATACAATATATAAAAACTACGGTAAATTCATAAATGGTCCCCTGATTATAGGATATTATTTTGTCGAGTCTCTCAATTATTAAAATTTGCAAAATGGTCATTGGACTATAGAAAGTTATTTTGTTGAGTCCATCAACTTTTAAAATTTATAAAATAGTCACTAACTATTCATTATATTCCAAACTCGTCCTTTTCCGTTAAAAAATAGTGGCAATCTTAGCTGTACGTTAACCTGCTGACTGAGATATGATAAAATTTGATCTCATAATCTTAAACGACTATCATATCTCAGTCGCATGTTAACGTTCAAGTTAGACGACTGTTAATTTTTTAATGGAAAATGATGAGTTTGGAACATAATGAATAGTCGGGTGATCATTTTGTAACTTTTAATAGTAGAGCCGGACGTTAATCTGGTGACTGAGATATAATAAAATTTGATCTCATAATCTTAAACGACTATCATATCTCAATCGCATGTTAACGTCCAAGTCAGACGACTGTTAATTTTTTAATGGAAAATGATGAGTTTTGAACATAATGAATAGTCGGTGAACATTTTGTAACTTTTAATAGTAGAGGAACTCAACAAAGTAACTTCCTATAGTCAATGGGTCATTTTATAACTTTTAATAGTTGAGGGACTTAACAAAATAGTATCCTATAATTGGAGGACAATTTGTATACTTTACCCTTAAAACTATATAAATCTTTTAATTTTTTTCTGATTTATAAGTGGAAAGGGTTATGCGTAACCTAATTTTATTAAAGCAAAAGACGACGACCCGTAGCCCAATAACTCCACCTTTTATATAAAGCTTCTTCTTAATGCAATTTGAACACTTTTTGTTGTTGTTCATATTATAAACATTTAAAATCACATGTGAATTAAAATAAATTATTATGATTTATGGTTCACTTTTTAGACTCCATAATTATTTTTACAGTAAAAACTGCTAATTTTATTAAAAAAATATTTAAAATTACAATGAAGATTTACAATTATAATTGTAAACTAAACATTTAATAGAAAATTTTTCTATAATCATTAACACAATAAACTAGTCACTTAAAATTACATAAGGACTATACAAGGAAAAAGTTAAAAAACCTAACCAAATAAACTCGAATGAAAGCTAGATATGAACAAATTTGATTGCATCGACAATCGAACCATAAAAAGAGATCAAACTATTAAAAGACCATCGATAAATTGCTAATTAGAGTCGAGCGACGTGAGAAAACTATCCATTAACACAAATAGCGTATCCAAATCTAATTTGAGAGTCCGAAGAAGGAAAGAACATCATGATAACAAATAAATATCATTTTGATCAGCTGTGACGATGTCAAATCTATCCCTGATAAAAAGGCTAAACGAAAAAAAAGCAAACGACCGTAAACATTCCCAAAGACAAAAGAAGAAGTGCATAAAGATAAGAAAAAATGAGTCATAAAAGAAGAAGAAAAATGCTATAAAAGAAAAAAAATCATAAACGTAGAATTATTAAAAACTAGAAAAAATCAAAGGTAAATCAAACATGTAATATGATAAAATAAGAAATACCGATAACAACATCCAACACTAAGACTGATATTAGACTCCATAATTAGAATTAAATATAATTCACATATCAAATATATTTAAAATATTAAAAAAATATTGAATGCTTAAATATATTTGATCTTATATATTTTTATATATTATATCAATAATAATAATAACCGAATTAAACTCAATTGACTTTTAGTAGTGCATTTGATATATCTTCACTTAAAATGCAAGTTTTAGGCCTAGATTTGATCCTTTCCTCTCTTTAGAGGCTGTCTAGAGTCGAAGAAAATTTATATTTGTCGAGTCTATGATAATTCAAATAATAAGGCTCTCCTCTTTAATTAAGAAAATATGAATGTTTCTATATGCAGGTAAAATTGTGGGTAATTGAAATCAACTTTAGATAAGTTGCCGGCAATAACTATTTTATGATCAAATTAACAGAAAATTAAAGTATAGGGATTAAAATAAAAAATTATAATCAGTTGTCTCTCCTCTTTGGCTCTTTCTTGGTAGTTTCCTCGAACAGTTGGGGGGCATGGGCAAAACCCATAAACAGTTGAACCGCATTCATTACTGTACTATATTGGCTATTCACATGCACAATTTTACAGCCACAAAAACGATGACATTTCAGCTCTGTGGTGCCAAGTTCAGAATTCATATAATTGTCTTTTTGAGGACAAAATATTCAGAGATTGAGATTGATTGATTCAGTAGCACGTGGTGTAGACATGGGCATGGGGCATCTCAGGTAATGATTAATGTTGTTCACGTATGGGTTTAAGGTTTAAGATTTAGAGTTAAAAGATAAGATTTGTTAATTCGAATAACTCGAAATTTTTGATTCGACTCTATCGAACGCTTATCTCTAATTATAATCAACGAGAGAATGATTATTAGCCGATTTTTGGACGAAGGAGATACTAAATTTTCATGAGGAAAAAGAATGAGGGTAGGCTGATTATATGCGAGTTCACATTCTTTTCTAGTCTTAATTGAACTTTTTTTATTGGGTTTAACCACCAATTTTCGGTTTATTGATCGATTATTTAAGATTGAGGTTAGTAAAGGTTTATTATGAGGATGATCCTCTCAATCTAATTTACTCCATTTACAAACGTTATATTTCGAACTTTTAACATCCCACTATAGTAGATTTAATTGTCAGACTTTAGATTTAACAAAAGCTAGATATATTTAGTTATCAGACCTTAAATTTCACTTTGGTAAGTTGCATGTAACTGTCTGAGGTCTTGTCCAAACACTTTAATTAACTTGAAGGCAATGTACTAATTTAGGTATGCATTGTTTCTTGTCTAATACTATACTATGTCAAGGTTTAAACGCCATGTGTCGGTGACTAGCACGTTTCTAGCTATCCTTTGCCCAATGTTTTCGGACCCACTCATCATATAATTATTAACTTGAATCAAATTTTAAATTAGAGGAAGATCTTTTAACTGCGGATTAGATCATATTTAGGTTAGCCTAAAATTCGGGTGTCTTATCCCATCACCTCATAAATGCATCAAGATATATATAATTCATTATATATTTGCGTTTAAAGATTAAAAAAAAATCTACCAACAACCGGTTGGTCTAGTGGGATGAGGTACTAGATCCTTTAAGCAAAGTCAGGGTTCGAATTTTGACGCTTGCGAATGGAGCAAATTGGGTTGGGAGGATCGTCCTCGCTTCTGCAGTACACAATTTAAATTAGTCGATCAATAAATCAGATACCAGTGATTAATTTAAAAAAATAACATTGAAAAAGAAATTTATACTTTAAAATTTTTATTATTTTTTTATATCTCAGAGTTGGTGTCTAATATAATAATAAAA